AAGGGTTTCTAGGAAAGCTTCAAAAGCTTTAACTACTTCCGACGAATTAATTTTCAGTACCAAACAATCTCCTGTTTTTAGAAAAAAAATCCAACAACGATGTATAAGAGTTTTTAAGTAGAGATATTCAGTCTCCAAAATATCTCTTAAGACTAATAACATTTTAGACCGTTGAAGGAAGTGGAACGATGCTATGAGCTTCGATAGTTTCTCAAAAAAACTTATTGTGCAAGGTAATACTAAGTTGAGAATTGGATTTATTTTGGACCCTTAAGCCATACATAGCTTGGACAGAAAGGATTGGTTGCATACACTTCTTAGTATGCCACCAAGATTCAACTTCACAGTACTCTATAGGTAGAAGATAGTGAGGAAGATAGATCCCTTACACATATCGCTCAGATAAACAATTTTAAACGACTTGATGTTTATGGGACATTTTTGTCATGTCGCATAACCAGAATAACAAACTTGGTTGAACGAGGGAGCAACAGAGAAATTACTGTATATCGCTATGTATTGCGCCCTTACGAAGAATTAAGGTAACGCAGTTTATGCTTTAGGATAGAAAAGGCTTATCCTGTTCTGAGCCAATGCATTACCAGGAGTGGAAACCGTACACTTTCTGCACCAACCAGATTTTGTATAAGAAATCTGCATACACAGCCGTCGCGTACTAAAAAGCTCAACCTGAGTAATGACCTCTTCGGTTAAGACGATAATTTCAAGTAATGGTAAGCAGAATGTATGTGCCACTTTTGTTGATATATATAGACACTAAACTTTTTTTATACCTGTTCTTTTATGTTTAGAGTTTTACGTCTGGTACCGCCGTTAAGCATTTCATCAAATGGCTTGCTCCCAGCACGAATGAGGCCTGTCTATGCCCGGGTTTGAACCTAGACCACAACGTGTTGCCAAAATTAGCATGCAAATACATTACCCATTAAGCTATCACGGAGAAACACCTATTGCTAAAGTGCTGAAAGTATTGGTAGATAAGGGTAGAGTTAGTGTTAAGGTTTCAACCTTTCAAGCAGGTGTATAAATTACCTAAAAATTTTAAAACTTACAGACACACTTTTCGTCTTTGACTCATGACTTGACTTTGGGATTTCTGCACGGACCTTTGTTGATCCATATGTCGGCAACGCTTAGCAGATAGAGCTGATGTAAAAAAGCTCAATGCCGGGTTTTCGACGCGGCCCTTCCATCGTCTGAGTTGTTTACTCCAGTACACAGCGTGTCACATTCTGTAGGGCGACACTGATCCAATTCTAATCTATTTCAGGTGCCATACCTAAGGCTATCTCCAGTGCCATCATATGCTGTTGTAGTATCTCACTGTTTATGATCAAAGACAGATTCGATTATATTATCGATGACACAGATGTACTCAGATTTATTGATGTCAAGTGCCCAGTGGTGCTGATCTTCCAAAAATCGGATAATTTTAGAACGCCCTAGTCTGCACGCAAACTGTTTATTAATAATCGTGCACTGGGACATTGTATTTCTCACGGCTTTACAGAGTTCCATTGGAGTATGAGTTAGTTTTATGTGCAAGTTCGGCAATCCGTGGAAGAATCTAAAATGAAAACATGATCGACAGTAGGATTACCTAGATGAGGTACGCGCTGTGTGGTTATTAAACAAAGATAATCTTAGAGTTCCTGATTGGTAAATGAGCAACTGGGATAGACAGACACCAGAAGAGGGCCGAAACGAAAACACACAGACTGAAGCAGCAGATTTAAGAAAGCACAACAATTATTCTAGCTATGCTGCTTTCAAAGATGCAAGTATCAAGATGTCTGAAACCAAACTATTAGCAATCTACAGCCTGAATAACTGTTTCTCACACACGTAATAATGTTAGATGCATCGAAGTTCAGTAAAAAAAAGGGTAGCAACGTGAAGCGTAGCACTTCATTTTTGGGGCTCACCGTCACTGAAAGTTGTATCACTTGTGGGACACTAATATTATTTTCCGAAGTGGCTCATTAAATTATGTCAATATTTTTAGTCTCATTGGATTCAGTCTTGTTCAAGACACGGATCTATCTAGCTACGATGCTTGCCTCGCAACTAAATAGATCTATGTCTTGAATATGATAAACTTATGCTACATTACGAAGGGGTCGAGTTGTTTCTCAAGAGCTGAAACTGTTGCCTCCCCAATGAATTCTTCTTTGAGTATCGACGCAGTTACACAAGTGATGTTTGTTATGTCTTTTAAATTGCCTTCAAAGAAGTAAACTTTGTCGTCCACCACGTAGTATGATCAGCTCCCTCAACATCAATACAATGTATTAAGGCCGAAGCGTAGTTCGATATTATATCTATCTGTCTCAAATAGCAAAACTTCAATAACGAGTACAGCATTTTGGTTTCATTTTTTTAATTTACTCTAATAGTTTACATTAAGTTATCCACATACGTTCGCAGTAGTATTATGACTAAGCCATTCTTCATCAATCAACAGCAACTTCAACTTTACCTACACCTGCAATTTTATGAATTAGTACAGAAGTCATAGATTTAAAACTATGAAGGAAGTAATTGGTGTAAGCCGTCCTTGGTTCTTCATCAATATCAGTTTCCTATTGAAAATAAACAAAACCAATTCTTTGTTAAATTTGTAACGTCACGTAAACATGCACTACATATTTAAGTATTCCTGCAGCAATCAACTATGCCGATGTATTACAACGCCTGATACAGAATAAAGATTGATGACTTTCCGTCACAGTCTACAAAATAAATCCAGCATTTAACTGAACCCACCAGTACATATCGGTTATTTTATCGATATCTACATTGCTCTGACGCTCATACAGTTATGTATGATGTATTGTAGTTTTAATAATTGTAAGTGTTAACTTAATTGGCATCCTATGAATGTACTCAGTTATCACACAACATTTTTTTTTTCATTCCAATGCTATAGTTAGCGCAATGTATAGAAAAGCAGCGTCCAACAAACAATCCAGATAGTTTAGTGTTCCAACCACATTTATCGCGCGCGTATTTTGGTATAATATTATATTCGTATTCCGAATATTCGGCTAGCATAGTTTTCATGCTTTACGCTTATTTTTCACTGGTTATTACTGAATCGGACTGCCGAGTCTGCGCATGTAGTTCTACACCAGGTTAACCTAATTTCATATCTGACAGGACCGCGTCGAAATACACACTAATAACCAGTTGGTAAAAAGAGACGGTTCCAAGGACTTACGGCGCTGGGCTACTCTTGCAGTCCGTTAGGTAACTTCTTCTTAGGGACAGTTATGTCAGTCGTCAAGGCTTATTGCTCTGATGTTTTACAGTAGAATTAATTAGCGTTTAGGAAGTTGATATTGCCAACTGGAATATGCTGGCAAGCTAAGCTTCTTACATGTAAAAAAAACGTCGTTCTCACCAACGTAACAAGATAAATATCGAAGGTCAAGTCAAATGTTGACATTTTACAATGGAGTTGTATAGGTCAAAAACAACAGCCGGTTTGGAGGAGGTAACTTAAAATTATCTTCGGTCGAAAACTATGTAAGTACACCGTTATATAGAACTAAATCTTGTATGAGATAGTTAATTGTCGTCATAAACCTGCACAATCAAACGGTGCATGTGTAGCTATAGAAAACTAAGAGACGTAAGTCGAGTTTATTTCTAAGCATCATTTGGTGGATGAGTGAACTCAACAGAACGGACTGTGTCGTCTGATAGACGAGTGACGACCTTCGCGTAATTATAATATTATGCCGTGAAGCTGTCGTTTGAAAATCTTGAACGCGTCACCAATTTTGTCACCTGTATGTCAAAAAGCCAGCTAATTGTAGTTGAAGCTATGGCAGCTTGACAAACTAGCCATGGTTAATAGCCTCGAAGTTAGAATACGTCTTTCGTGCTAACGGTGTAAACTAAATGAAATGTTAAAACATTTATCTGTACAAGGTATACTGCTAACGTACGTCTATATCCAGGGTGCGGAAATGGGTACCCATACATATTCACACGCTGTTAGCTTTTGCAAGCAGTCACATATTTCGTTTGCTATCATTATGCAAAAGTAATATAATGATAATAATTATAAAGTTATTGTTCAGTAAGTGACAATAGAGGCAAGGCTTTAAAGAAAATGACCACCCATCATCACAGATTCAAACGCTGAAAAAGTAGTGTCGTTTCGAAATGCCCACGAAGTTGTGGAGTAGTTTCTGCATCGCCAGTTCAGAAATGGGTACGTGAATAAGGCCTGTTACTGAACTTACTGGCAATAACGGATATTTTCAGATCTTTTGCTCTTTTAAGTTCAATATGGAGTTACCCTCTATAATCTATTTAAATTTCTATATATTTCGTTCCCTGGCACGCATCCATATAATATTCTAGGTCGCCACAACAAACCACACACGACAAACCGTAATAACAATGCGGACTACATTACGTATATATTTATGGCGCTGAAATTATATGTAAAAAAATCAAATGAATCTCATTCGTAAAATCGACATCACATATGGTGGGAACCGCCTTGCCTATAAATGGTTGGGAGAGCAAGGTTTCCTCCTCAAAGAAAACATGGTCATCAACGATTCCACAGAATAGGAATCAAGAGCGACATCGGTGTCTAAAGCACTTGGTTAGGTTGTTATTTTCAGGACTTGCGAAAACATTTCTTTCTCGTCATTACCATCATCATAATATATCAACGCTGCCGCTAATAAGGGAGCATGAAAATGCATGTTCAATTACTGGGTATTACAGTTACTGAACGTGCCTTACAAGCATCGAAGGGTCGGACCTTTCTTCTATACTGCTCATCATTCTTCCTTAAACAACTTCCTGACTTCGTTTCTAGCCTTCTAAACTGAACGTCTTTACCTCAACAGCTCGACATGATATGAATTTGTTTGTGCTATTGCTTTCCCGCTCAGTATATCTAATTATGACTCCTTTGTGTTACGCTTACTAATTATCAAATCTCTACGATACGCTAGAGCTTTGATGATAGAGCATTTGTTTATTAAATGTGGAATAGTGCTGAATACGCAGAACATACGTTCTTCTGCATATTTCTTTTATTATATCAGTTTAAGAGATCACTCGAAGGCTACAGCTTCGACGGTTAAGATGCCGAACTCCTTCCCTTGAGAAAGTGGCTCGTTGTCGAATGTAGCTGACTTATCCGTTCTGCCAGTGTTCATATCTGGTAGTATGTGCAAAGCTCCACAGCCTATATCAAGACCATCCATTGCGCATTGGAACAACTGCTGACCGGCAGACAAGTTCATCTGGAACAAGAGATAACAAAAAACCATAGGTCAAGTAAAAAAAACAACACCATAGTAACACATTTGTTCGGTGTTGTAATTTTTCACATAAATTTATTTGAAGTACCTTTTTGCCTATATATTGATGCAAGTCAATTGTCTTATAGACAACCTAAATAATATCTGATTTTACATAACAGGTTTCACGTACATTGCAAGAGGCGCCGTACCCAATCCACTTGAAGACCTTGATGGTATCTCCTTTTTCGAAGGTAAACACAAATGTTTCACCGGTGCCAAAAAATTTTCGCTCATGTTTGCGCTCGCCCCAAGCACTGGAACAAAATGCTCCGAAGATCTCCGCTTCTGTCGTTTTAATCAGGATAATAAGTGGCTCGACTTCGTCCACCATGTGAAGAAAATTTCTATGAAAAGTACAAAGGGCAACAATATTATTTGTAAACAGACTGACAGGTCTCTCGACTGGGTAAGCTATGAGCGTTTTGTATAATTTGCGTTTGCAATAAAGCATAAAGAAACAGTAACCAGCGTAGGTTAACGATCGATCTATAATTTGATCATTAAAAAATTGCTTAATAATATAAGTATTGGTCTTCCCTATGAAGAAATTTGGATTCGTTGCGCTATCCGTTTAAATAGAAAAAGAGCGTAATTAAAAACATTTAAATTATTCAGCCTATCCGTCGGAACACTTTCTTTTTGAAACATTGTGAGGTTTTTCTACAATTTACCCATAGTTATGAAATAGAAAGGCCGGAAAAACTTTCACTGTCTACTTTTTTAATTATTATAAGCTACGCATTACCAGAAACACATGCATGTAGGAGCATTAGGAATAGGATATGGTCGAAGCGTTTCCTAACGAACAAAAAGAAACAATGTCTAAGGGTCACTAAAAATACGGCGATATGCGGGAGGCTGGTGGCGGTCAAAGTAAAATGTAGTTTACTTTACGAGATATCCGTATATTTTTGTGGGCACTATGCAACAGGATCGGAGCGTGTATAATTGCGAAATAGTAAGGATGCAATTTTCACCGAGAAAACTTGATGTGAAATCGGACCTTGATAATCAAAGGATGATCTAAATGACATTATGCTAAATTTTTTACACAATATCTATAATCTAAAGAAACGTTTTCCTTCAAACCACAATAACTGAACGACCGTCCCGCCAAGACTTAGGTTGCTCGGTAAATCGATACAGTGTCAGGCTGTTTTAAAAGGAATACGTCTCATCTTCATCATAATGTTAGGCAGTATACAATATAGAGGGAGTTGGTTTTCATATGTCACCACTCGAAGTTTAATACTGAACCCTGTTACTACATGTTCACTGCAGATTGCATTACCAATGCTTACAATTAAAAAGAGAATTGTCCAAATATGAGTTGAACCAACCTCAACACGGCAAGGAATCGTAATGGGAAATTATTTTCGTAAAAACACCATGCTAGATGGTGCCAAATACCTTCGCGGCATCAATCGAGGTTACCAGGGAGGCATTGCCTCTATTGCAGGAACTGGTTGCATACACGAAGCTAAATTTAAATCCGGATTTTTTTCGACTGGTCCCCGACGGTTTCGCGAATGCGTTCACCTGAAACCAGTACTCTTGGAGCAAAGTCCATTCCAAGTAGGGTGTAAACAAACTTGCGGCCTTTGCAGAAAGCCATGCGTAGTCGTCAGAATTTCGGCGAAGAGCAGCTATTCTCTGCCCAATTTCTTTATGCCGGACAAATTCCACTTCCTTTTTGCCCAAAAGTAAAGGTGTACATAATTGCCAGTTTCCATGCGGGTTTCGAAAAATACCAGGAAGGCTTTTTCAAGGCAAACCGGACAACAGAGTTTGTATTTGAAAGATTGAGAATTCATCTAAATGGTTTAAAAATCTATGTGTGATTATCTGAATGAATTATATGAAAAAAATATGTGATTATCGAGAGTTATTGTTACAACTTAGCGGTTGTCTTCACGAATTAGACCGTCCAGATAAGTTTAGTGGTCAGTCTTTTAAAGGTTCTCTGTGTCTTTTACGCCTTTTAAGTTTTTCAGCCTCACCAAGCTTTTATGTTACTGGGACCTCTGGCCTGCTCCCATCCCGAAATTTCATTTCGCAATATTTTTTGTACGCAGTGTATTCAGGGGACACTTTTTGACGAAGCTGTGATTACTAACATTGCTTGATGCACGTTACTGTTAAACAGTTATTTGGGGATTAAAGAAACAATAGTTTAAAATTTACTAGTGAATGACTTAGATTTTGAATTAAAGATGTCATAGAGGCGAACGGTAGATTAAATAAACATGATTGTCAGAAATGGCGCTCGTGGCATAATTAAAAACGGTAGTTGAAATAACTGTTTCTATTCAGATATAACCAACAGATACAATTATTAAAGAATCTGGATTTAATCCCATCAGAGTAAGTTACAGTTATATGATACCAATTATCTTTTAGACAATGGCATTTTAGCCTATTACCATTAATGTAACAGCAAAATTAAATAAAGTACATGCCCCGACCTAACCTAACAACATAGTACTTTGACACATTGTACACCCTATGGCGCACGCATCACGGTGGGTTGATTTGGGCTAAAAACAGTACCCAAACAGTATTTTCACTTTTTTTCGTTTCGTTTCATACAGCAAAGTGAGTATTTGAGCTTATTTTAAACCTATATTACCTTATTTTTGCTAAACAGTAGCGTGTTGCGAAAAGTAGGAATGTTTTATTGTGCCTTAATAACTGGACATTCTGTAGTAAAAGTTATTGATTGTGGGTACTGCTACTTGTGTTGTAGTCCCAAGAAATTTCAACTAAAATTAGTACACGTTAATTTTAAAATTGTCTTAGACAAATTCAAAGTGGACGTAAACAATTTCAGAAACTTTAGGTCAGTTATGAATTATTGATGACATTTGTGCGATTGTTGTGGCAATATTGTACGTAGTTTGGAACGTTGACTCTATCTGACGCTACGATTCACATACCTTGTAAAGTTCTATGAATGGAGAAAATTAAAGGAGCAGACAAAGTGATCGAAACTCTACACATACTATTTTGTCATTTTTAATAATTTTGTATGTGTATTTTCCTCAAATTATTATTTATCTACTTTCATTTTACTCTTAGGTATTGTAATGCCGCTTCTCCTATAAATTCTTCTGTAGGATACTTAAACTTATAACACAAGCACATCAGTCTGTCATAGATCGTGCCTTATGTTATTATAGAGGGTGGGGCATCTAAACTGGGAATTTTTCTAACGAGTTTTTTCAAATCTGCACCAAAACAGACACGTCAATGACTTTTCTTACAGCAATGCTTATTCGCAATGTAATTCTTGACAAACACGTTTATTCAATATAACTACCATTTGACGCAATTACATCTTCTAATTTAGGTCACTCGGTAGACATTTTCACGAAGTCCTTTCCTTGATCTGTAACTAACTTAATCGTAAGTATGCATCAAGCGTGTTTAAATACGCTACATTGGAAAAATGTCGACGAAAATTAATTTTTGGGCTGGCAGAAAAGCATAATTCCCCAAAAATCTATACGGCCACGAAGTCCAACCAGTACAAAAAAAGCTCAAAAGGATAAAGAATTGGTGGACTCCGAATTGACCGCTAGCTTTTGTATCAAAAAGGTCAGACATCAGAAATTATTTTTGCACCATCTTAATGGACTTTTACGTCCTAAACATTAATAGTAATTTTCTGGCTTGTCTCATGTAAATTACCCTTAAATATTTCAGAACACGAAAGCTGGCAATAACGTAGACCGTCGAACTCAAACGAAAAGGGATGTTGTCAATTTCATTGACGCTTCGCCGAAAGCGAAGAGATTGAACAATAGCTGATCTTTGCTCAAATTGCAAAAACGACACACAGTTTTCCATCACGATTTTAATTTTGGAAAAAACAAGCTTTTTTCCAGTACCAAAAATAGCGGACAAACGCATGCCCACTACTTGCAGTTAAAAAACTAAACAGCCCGCTAAAGTTTGACCCAGTTTAGATGCCCCCTGCATTGTGTGGTAAATTATCCAGCACTTCTTGCATACTAAAATGTTTAGTTACCTGAGCGATGTTCCATGTTCATTGGATGAAAAGATAATATATGGCTTGACCACTGTAAACCTTGAAGGAAGATGCGGCCACAGCCGCTCAAGCTGAGTCTGAGACGCAATCGATGATTTGATTTCTGACACGTAGTACAGCACTGCAACATCTAGAGTACTCAGGTCCATCTAAAATAAAAGCGAGTACATACTGTAGTTTAATAAATCACCTATTACGTATTCCCCATGATTGAAGATTTTAAAATGAATTGTAAATGTAATATTTTTGTTTAACCGGAAGCTTCTTTCGTATTTACTTTTCTAATACAACAATAAATTATTAACAGTAAGGTGACAAATAGCGAAAATTACTTATGAAAAACCTACAAATATATGAAAATCCGAAAGCTAAAGCTGCAAACAAAGAATTTGCAAATCTTAGAAACCAAAAAAAATCTAAGCACTATAACCCTGGAATCGACTTTTTATATATATATATAAGACATGCGTCAATGAGTTTTCAGTGCTACAACTATTCGCTAGTTTTACGTGCGTCTTTATGTTAAATTTTGGTATTTTAGTCACTTTCATAGCAGTATCTATTAAAATGGGCTCAGGCCCCCTTAAAAGGTAGGCCTGCACTTCACGTCCTTTATTTAAAAAGCCTCAACTCACTTCTTTCACATATTTGTGATTTTATTATGCTATTCTAATCTGCAGAATACAATGTGGTGAGGAAGTAAGAAGTACATGAATTATCCATGTATAAAAGTTCGAAGGTGGGCATTTTTGCACGAAAATTGGGTTTGGATCCAGGTAAACCACATATGTTATTCGACCATTTTTTTGCAGCCTAACATTATACCCTTAACGAATAATTATCCTATGTAGAAATGGACTGCCCAAAATATCATTGTTGTAAACACTTCAGTTATTTAATTCAAACATAATTTTTAATATAGCATGACGTACTTCCAAGTAGAATCAAAGACCTACCTGTTTAACGATAATCTCTCTTGAAGAAATTTTTATGGGTAATTTTCCTGATATTTGTTGAATCTCCGCTGCGTCAAACTTTGCCAGATTCGAGAGCAGCTTTGAGGAAAACCCTCGAATCGAAAACGCTTTTTCGACAAACTGGGCTTCACTGACCATAGTAGGCAGGGCATTCCGTACGAACAAAGTGAGTCCATCCAACATGCTCGCTGCGGCCTCAAATCGGCGCCTTACCTTTGGAGTTGCTACATCCATTCCCAACAAATTAGACAATAGAAATAACGGACCATGTTACACTGATCATTAGCGATACCGCTTGCACATCGTTTGGGTAGTCACTGTGCCTCTGTAGTACTGGGCCGGGCTGCTACGCTCGGCAGCGCTTAAACCAGCTTAATAAAATTCGATTTATAAAAAGACGACGAAAACAAAATCATTCGTAACATAGCATATATAAAAAAACTGAATTATCTCAAATATTGTTTTAAACTCCTTCACACGTGGAGAGAGGGGAGAAGGCGGCCGCTTTAAAGTTACTCAATTTTGCTCACAACAATTACCCGCATCCCAAATAATTAACTAGCTCTTTATGCATTCATTTTTCTTTCTTTAATCATGATAATATAGATGTACGGAAAAAATACAGTCTAACGGTTTAAATCGATACAATACGAATTACTATCGAAATAATAATGATAATAAAAAACTTAGTTGACAAATCTGCAAGGATTATAAGATACTGCATCATTCGCGTGTGCCCGGCAGGGTTACAACCTGGCACCTCGGAAATATCTTTACACCATTTAGCGGAAAACTGAGATTTTTAATATTGCCGTGGTATGGACAATACTGCCATCCCATATTATGCCAACAAAATTATTCTAGATTCCTAATTTTCATTTTAGGTTCGCCTTTTGTCGGGTATCTGTAGGTTAAATACCTATAGATACCCGACACTCAATGATCATTTATCTGTATTTAAATAAATAGTAGTTATAGTCATGTCTCCTGTCAACCGACATATTGGCAATTTTTTTTTGTTTTGCAGAGACTTTTTGTGTGTTTATATACAGTGTGGCCTTTAATGCCAGAAGTTTTAGGAAATATAAACATTCAAGTTTTTCAAAATCACATCAACTGCCTTAGGCGACATTTAATCCACCTTAGCTTTCGTTTTCTTTTCCTCAAATCCAAACCTTCAATTGAGTTTTGTTACAAAAAGCGCAATTTCAAAAAAAGAATCGGTGTTTACTTTTTTGGATTAATGAAATAGTCAATAATAAATAATACTAAATTTAGTTGCACCTATTTTGCGTAACACAAAAGTCTCGTTTGCATAGCCATATAAAATAAATATCCAATAGTCATTTTTAAGTCCTTAAACTCTAGGAAATGTAATACTTTACACATTTAACTTATTGTATTATTATTTCTTCGCTAATTGCGTGCTTCGCTGCTGTGAGCCGGTTCCGCGACAAAGCTTTATTCAGTTCACGGATTTTTCTGTTTAAACACGTAAATCTCAACGGAGGCTACGGAAGATCTGGGCATTACATTCGTTTCTCAAGTATTTTTCATTCCTAGAATCCGAATTGCTTAGAGGGCTCTTGATCCTTCGCGCTGAATTAAAAAAAAATAAGGGAAAGAAGGGCGTAAAGAACAATTACCAAAAACGATTTCGTAAGGAAAACTTACATAGCCATAAGCTTACTGTCTCCACATTTGATTGAACAAATGCTAAAAACCTATGAAAGGTTTACAAGGAAGTTTTGCTTGCATTTCATGATTACATTTACTTTATAACTGTAACTTTAAGATAATAAGAAGCACCATTGAAAAGGGTGCGTAACCATAAGCTCGGACAATATTAAAATGAATCGTTATTTTCAAAGACAGCTCTTTTATCATAACATATTAAGACCTAATTATACTACATGAAATTATTATTTGTATTAAAACATATATTAAATTATAAAATATAAACATGGCTACTAAAACTTGTAAACCTAGGAACAACAATAATAAAAGCAACCCGACTACTCCACTGAGGAAAATCGCACGTACAGAGAAATGGTGATCTATTTTCACGATGAACTACTCCGCTGCTTGGAAGATGTTTATAGTATTTTTTACAAAAAGTTAATAACGGCAATTTGCGCTTAGTTACAAGTGGCTTTGTGGGAAAAGTATACTAATCAGTAGTAATTGTCTTTTTATATCGCTTTGAAGCGTACACGTTTTGCAAGGATACTCAAACGACAGTCATTGGTCACAAAGGTACAGAATTTTTTTCACATAGAAGTTGATGCAGTGTTTAGTTTTATACAACCTTGAAGCGGATGAAAGGTATGCTGGAGCTCATTGATTGTTCTAAGATTCTAACAATGAATCTTCTCACACTGGTAGGAACTTTACTTCAGTAATAATTATGACAGAATACATAACGAGTCTCGAATTTTGGTCTGTTAAAAAGGCTGTCGTGTACAATACTATGTACAGAACGTCCATTTATCGTTATTAAACCGGTGCAAAGACATTTTCTACTTATAGCTAACACCATAATTTTATTATTCAACGAGGAAACTGGACTAAAAATTTCTGCTGCTGCCAGTAAGGTCTTCGTACGAAAGCTTTCCTCCTTAATAGTTACCCATCCTTTTGCAAACAATGCATTCGCCATATACGTCAACTCCGGAGTAGTTAAGAAGTGCAATGTCTGCGCGACGCACCCCCAGTAAATTGACAAACTACAGGTAATTTTTCCTCTTTCTACCAGAGAAATAAAAAAAAGGCATAGAAGACCTCCATAAAGATTTATTTTGGTTATTTTTAAAAACCTTTTTTTTTGGTCTTAAAATGAGAACCTAAGGAGGACAAGAGTTCAATTTTTTTTTAGAAGAGACGACAAGAATTATGCCCATGCAGGTAAAAACTGCAAGATTGATATTACGCCATCAATATGTCGATTAGCCAAGAGTTGACTACTTAGTGTATGGATTCAAATCCTCGAACATGATAGCAACATATATGTAGCACAATCGTTTACAACAATGGAGTGAGATTCACTATGATTTTAATTTACGTATGCCTCGAAGGAGTCACAGAAACATAACAATAGATATTAATTAAACATAATTTTTTGATACGCTATATCGAAACGTTTCTAAAAGAACTAAGTACTGAAATGCCTATTAAACCTTTACTGCCTACAAAGACATCCTGTTTTTCTAAATTTGTAAAACTTTCGTTGGGTGCCTTACAGCAATACTAAATTTTGATTACAATTACTCTTCAACCCCTCGTTACCTTTTATTGTGGCGCAGTTCTACATACCCATCAAAGAAAATAATATCATTTTTTTTTTATATACAACCCGCATGAACCTTCTTGCTGTGTAAATAACTCAGTTTGAGTAAAGTTAAGTTCTAGATATTTAAGTAAATCGGTTATTTTCTAACTAAAAATCGGGTGCTCAGTCAACTAATTTTGTACACATGAAAACAAAATTTACAGGAGAGTGCACGGGCGAGCGTTGTTTGAGATGCTTCACCGAGGAAACGCTTGCAAAAGGCTGGGAAAGCATCGGATTTGATCGAGAGGAAAGAATTTCTCCAAGCTCAACCAATGCATTTCAGCCGCAATCTGTTTTCTAGTAAAACATGTACAGTGTTACTGTGGGAGATAGTAATCGGCTATATGCAGATTATGATTATTTATTGTGAAATTCCTATTGAATAAAATTAATTAAGGATGATGGGAGTGGCTTGCACAATTGTAATGATCGATGTAAATATGCACTGCACATTAAAAACAAGTGCTTAACTCGTCAACGAATTTTCGCTATGGATGGTTTTGAAGGTTACCAGATATATGTTGTGTAGAACTAACCGCACCGTAAACATTTAGAGGGTAAACTGTTTACAGTTCACTTTCCTCTTAGCTATCGTTACGAAGGTTCACTGACAAAAAACCTAAACATTATTTTTAATGAGCTACTCTGACTTTTTAGGCAAATACACTTTTAAATTTCGTTATTGCTGGTAAATCTAGTTAACAAAATTATCACTTATATGCAAATTGTATAAATATCGCAAAGAAGCAGACAATTATTTTGCCTTTAGGGAATTCACCAATTCGTGACTGATTAACTCAGTTAAAAATTTAATAATAAAAAAATAATGATTAAACTAAAGGTGGAAAAATAGAGCCATCACAACCAGCTTCAAGATAAATACATACGGCTCCGAAATGCGCCAGATCGTGTCTGTAAAAAAGAGTTTCATTTGTCATTTAACGAACCTCGAGCAGACTTTCTTAACGACCTCCTGAGTCGATCCCTGAGGCTTCTGCGTTGCAAGATTCCCCTGTCACCAAAGGCATTAGAATCCATCATCGTTCCATTCGAATCTGCTCCAGTCAATCCATCGATGAGAATCAAACTTAATAAACTGTTAACTCGGAAAAAATGGTGCTCTACCAGTGAGCACATAGTAAACAAAAGAAAGCAAAAGGAAAATAAAAAATATAAACCCGACGAACAGAAAACTGGTTTTTTGAAAATGAATACAAAGTAATAACATTAATTTATTAAAAACTCGCTACATACAAAAAGGTTCAACTTAGTTATTAAATTTAACAAAACAAAACCAAATTAAAAGTTGACTAAGAATGGACAAAAAATTTAAATGACACATGTACTATGCTAATGCGCCATTACAGTTTGTCGATAATTTTTCTGTTCTGCGAGGAATTTAGAGCTTTTCTTTTACTCCCCCAGTATTTAGTACACCAAAGTATTTATAGTGATCAACAGTAATGAATGTGTTTCCCAGGTTATACGTTAGGTACTAAACGAGACAAATAAGTAAAATGGATGACCAACTACCTAGCACATAATACATATCACAAGACGATCTTCCCGATAAAAACAAAATAGTTGTTGACATTAGGAAGTGATGGTTCATCCTAGAATATTGGCTTGCTTATACGAAAAGATTAATATTGGAAGGTGAATACAATGCTTCCTGCTCAGTAGATGTAATACTCAACACGATGAGTACGTTTTTTAAATAATACATGACACCCTGCAAGACAGACGCGGACTTCCCAGAAGCAAGTGAGTGCGAGCAATTGACAAACGTGACAGAAAACGAAGAAGATACAGTCTCCACAAATCCGGCGCCTTCGTAGGACAAATTTTCTGCTAAGATTTCGTGTTTCCATGTGCAACAAAGTTTCTGTCATTAAACAGTAATGTCGAGGAGACAACTCTACTAAGTAGATAGATTATGAGCAGAGAGTATCTCGAGAGTGGCTCAAACTCTACAAACGGGCAATTTTATATCTACTCCAAAAAGTAATACTTGTCTCCTGCACCTTGAAGTAAAACAAACTAGCCTTCACGGATGATAAGTTAAAAGAATAAACTTCGTTATAAGACTAGAAATTCTATTTCAAACGATTCAATTCAACCTGACTAAGAGCTGAATCAAACATTCTATACAGTTCTTTTATATACTATTATCCAAAAGTAGACATGCGAACTAAAAACTGTCGCACTTGGACAGAGAACGGGAATGATTTATGGGCCCACTGCGTATACTTTTTATGTAAAAAATAAATTGCATCTCCGCTGGACCGCAAATAAAAGCTGATGAAATTACGGAGGTCAACGGTATAAAATACAAGCAGCTTTCGTTAAGACAGTGACACTGATATCCAGTTGGGTGGCTCTGTTGCTTACTTTGGGGATGTGTGAGCGTAGACCTCAAATTAGTAGGCTTTTGAGGTCTGAAGATCTCGAATAAAATCGGACAAGGCAAGAATAAGTGTAATTAAATAAAAAAAAAAAACAGATTAAGATCTGGCAAAGATCTTATTAAGCAGAGATTTTTATTTTCTTGAAGAACAACTGCGAGCGGTTTTTAGCGTTATATTTGCGACAATTGATGTGAGTTTGGGCTCATCATCACTAGCCTGCATTTAAAGCGCTATACATCATAGTTGAACATGTAGAGATAGCATTGTTTTCTATTATAAGTAAGCTATCATGAACGGTTTTTTTATTAAGACGTCGCTGGGACTATAGGTTGGTAACGCGTTTGTCTGATAAACTTATGGACAGTTAAGGTTGTCCAGCTTGAAAACCTGCATTAGGCACGACTTGCTTCGTACTGGGGTCCAATTACCTGAGGTAATAATTAACGGCAGTACTAAACCTGGAGCTCAAAACATCTATTTAGTTTACCTGCGATGGTAACAGACACGCGTATTAGTTTGCCTCAGAGAGTCCTCTGAGAGCGGATCGGGACAATCAAGGAATACTTTTTCAGGAGAATGACATAACATTCATAACCATTTTTTTTTGAGAAAGTCGAATTACAAGCTTCGAAGTTTCATTCGCTTAGATAGCTACCCATTCGCAAAAGCTGATATTAAATTATTCCATCCCTAAACGTTTCGAGTGTTTTTTTTTGAAAGAGATTTGCCAACGAAAATAAACTTACGTGTACTAAAAATGCTTATCTTCCAGGATACGATATCTTATTATCGAAATATAAGTATGATCCAAGAGCGTCGACGTGAGATGTCTTTAATCTTCAAAGAAGAAACACCGGTGAAATATATAAAAACGGTTTCAAAGTATTTGTTTTCCATCGGTCCTCATTAACTAGCAGATTGAATGCTTGAAAATTTACGATGGGTAAGCATCGCCATGAGATAAAGCTGCCCTAAGGTTTTGGATGCAACAAGCAAAAACATGCACTGTACCATAAATACACGCGTTTAACGAAAGCATGTAAACACAGTAGTGTACAACCAGGTACCTGTGACATTACACGGAATTATTCTTAAAATATTTCCATGCATAAAGTAGTTTAACAGACTGAATCAACTGTTTTCTCGAACATTTTTATGCCTATCTGAGAATTGGCGTTATTAGTACACGGATACCTTTCGGGGTGTTCAGTGCTGGTGGCGAAGTGCTGCCGTACTGCGAATAGAGTACGAGGATTAGGAGACAACTTCGGTAAAGCGCCCGAGTGCCTTCAAGCAGATAGTTGTCGAATACCCGGATCAAATAGGCGACTGGAAGTCCTCGGAAGAGCCATAGTGGCCATGTCAAGAAAAACACGCTCACCTAAAAAGTTACAAGAAGTCCTAATTTCCAAAAATTGTTTGTTACGGAATACTAGCTTTTATTTGTGAGAAGACATGGATGGTCTGTGAATAAGACACAGCCTGTTGTACTTGTGGTAGTGGCGGGTTTTCTTGGGCTGCTATTACCTATTTGTATAGCCCACAGTAAAACTGCCATTTGGGCATTAGTAGCAAAGCTTTAAGTTTGCATTCTTGGACTCTACCGGTCGTTATTACACACATGCAATAAAGGCCAACAGAGTTAGGTTATTGATTCTGCAATAGGAACGTATTGAGAATTTAACAAGAATATGCATAGGGTGTTGTTTAAGCAACCTAGTTACACTGTAAGAATGTAACAATTGAGACCACTATTGCCATAAGACGACAAGAATGCATGCCCGATAATTAAATTATATGCATTATATCTATTCACTATTATGTCTTTACAGCAAAAAAAAAAGTACTTTTTAATATTTCAACACAAATATGCGTGCTGAGGGACAGTAATTATTATGAATAGTAATATCAGAGATTACTTTCAATGTAAAACCAACAAATGAAGGTACAGAATAGCTGCCAAACCGTTCTGCTGCAACAAAGTACACAGCTACATGTTTTTGCGTACCGAGATAACTGGTCTGCTTTGTCACCTGGAACTTGAAACCAGAAGGTCTCCGGCTCTAACCTGATTAGGCACATCCAAATAGATGCAGTCTTGTACTTGCAAATCTGTTAATAAAGTAAATTAATATAAATTTATTTATACATGTCTGCTTATTATCGTATCACGTCATTATATAGTAATAGACAGAGCAACCGCCAACATTTAGCAAGCATGTCGTGTGCGGTGCAATAAATGCCTTGATCGTCACTCACGTACAAATAACAGATGCCTTATTTGTAACCCTTTATAAGACAACTACTGCACCACTGACCGAACTTTCAGGATACCCGATCTATAGAATAACGTGTTATTTCACAGAAATTTTATTCAGAGCAACCACATCTCCCGAAATCTTCACGAAAACGAAACAAAACTTCTTTAAAAGACCTAAGCTCTACGCTTACGAAACTCTATATATGTCAACACTGTACGAAATTTCTATGTAGTTGATCCACTTTTACATTGCTCAATCGTCTATTATTTCTGACGTATATATTCTAGAAATAAACCACGTGCGGAAACGGTTATTCGGAAATCGATCTCAAGCATTTACTTTGACTATCGTGCATAATTGAAACATTCTTTCTGAAAGAGTGCCTGTCTAGGTGAACGGCGAAAGTCACTACTTTTATGCCAGGATATGTGTCTATTATACGTCAGGTACATGGCGACTGTGCGTATTGCTATATACTTCTTCACAAAAACTCCTCGGTTGGCCTGGTCTAAAACGCTGTAACGAACATGGTTCTTAAATGGCTGTGTTCAGCCAGATATAACTGCCTTCATATATGGTGTGGGAGCTTTTCCTAGGACGCTTTTTGATATTCGGGTCGCTTGATCAGAATATTCTCAACAGGTGCCTTAACACTCTATTCACAAATCAAGCAAACTAAATTATACATAAGCGCCATTCTCTAAGCCGCTCTGGTAAATTAATCCTTAAAAACGGCTTAATTCTGGCTAGTGCTGGAAGCTACCGAAATCGAAAGCAAGGGCTTACTGAACCTGCGAGAGCTCATCATGAACTAAACTGACTGCGCTAATTTCGGAGACATGTTTATTGCGCGTGGTTATAGTCTGCGACAGCAGTCGTCAAAGGATGCTGATAACATCATTTGGAGACATTCTTAAAACTAGTTTACTATTTTACATCCGCCCTTTATCACGCCTTTGTCGCCATCAAGCTCCATTACACGTTATCGAACCCTCGACTTAGTTTTTAAGTGCTTCCTCTAAAATTTCGGGCACAACATTTGTTTGACGCAATACGCTTTTTGTCGCTTTTTTGTCTCCATGCTGGACCCATTCCTTCAAGTCCAGGTGGCGCCTTCTTTGAATAGTGCATTCAGTTGTCATAAACCTCACGACAACGATCCTTTTTCAAAGAAAATGTTTCTGAAGTGAAGTTCTTCAAATTATGATGGTATTAGACCCTTATAGTTTTAACAACTCACACACGTTTCGAGCAGATTTACACGTACACCTCCCCCAAAATTGAACAGGCATGACTCTAAGAAGCGTTTCTTGACTTTATATATCAGGGCTTATCAGCACTTTCGGTGTTCAATAAGTAATTTTTCCATATAAGAGACCCTTTGACCGTAATGCCTTCTTTGGTGACGTTTTTGCTTTATTAATTACACATATGTTGGACACATAATGACGACATTTGCTGCGGCAATAATTGTTTTAGAAATTCCCAGGAACTAGCAACTAAAAACGATAATAAGTGTATTTTGTATTTGATTACAGCATATATATAAGTGTCGTCAGGCTAACTATAAAAGCCTGTTATTTATAATATTATGCTGATCGGCTAATTGCAGAACTCATTAGCAAGATGTAGAATCGTCAGAGCTTAGGGAAGAGCGGGATAGTAGCAGATTCGCCACTAATGTGTCGTAGGTAGTGTTTTTTTCTGTTTAGCACTGTTAATTGTTCATCCTATATGAATAAGTACTCGGAATCACTTATATTCAGGTATAGCATCAAGAGTTTGTTTCCATTTGGAGTCTAATTAAAGTGATTACAGTTAGTACAGGTAACTGAAGTGGATCGATCTGGGGTTTTTCAACCCTTGGCTTCGTTTTGTGTCGAGAGGCAGCTGTTTGATGGAATGTTTAACGGCGATATCGAAACACAGAAGGGCTTTTTTAACATACCTATGAAACGGCATACTTTTAACTAATTTTCCTGACTATCCATATAGGGTCAAAACTTTACCAATACAGGAATCGGGACCAGCGCGGCAGTTAGTTGAAATTCACAAAATGCATTTAAAAGCACATTAACCGCCCAGACTACGCCAGTCTTGTCGCACGACGTTAGCAGATAATATGGATGTAATGTAACAATGGCAGTCACTAGAGCAACACTAGCTCACGAAAAGCCGCTACTACAACAGTCTGGGGGCGGGAGGGGTATATTTGTTTTCGTATACATATAAACTGGATACTTTACGAAGTTTTTCTTCAGGTTTTCTTTCAAGATTTTCTGAGTTGAAGAAATTGTATATTAGACCTTAAATAATATAAAAATAAAACTCATATCAGATAAACCATAATGAGTACACACGCGAGTCTCAATGTTACTTAACGTACATCATCGTTTAATATCGATTATTATCGATATATATATATATATATATATATATATAGATATTAGAGCGGAAAAGCAAGTTCTGTACAGCAAGTAATTACAAACGAGGCAAACATCAGACGAGGTAAATTACAATCCGACAAAAGCAAATGACAGCTCCGCAGACATCATGGAAATACTCTTCGAAATAATAGATCAAGCTGTAGACAAAATGTGCCTCGTACCGTGCATTATACTTTTAAACAGTATTGGGACTACAAAATATAAAATTGCACAGTTATATATGTGCTCATCAGTTATATTGAAGTGCAGTAAATCTTCCCTTCGGAATAAATTGCGACGGTAGTGGTACATACTGTACGCGAGTGCAGTAGAAAAAAACCTATATCGAATTGCTTTAATGTTGTTATTACCAAGTGTCTCGTTCTATTTTTGTCTGCTTCACCTGCTGATACTGTAAATACAGAAATCAATTGCATAACTGTGTTCCTATGTGATTTTGTCTACTCGAAGAACTTCCAATAAAATTATGGTAATTTTTTGCTCAAAAGGTAGCGCCTATATTTTCGATTAACAATATAATTCAACGATTGTTGGAACTTTTAATAGTTGAGATAAAAAGACACCAGTCGTGCAAATAAAAAAAACTTATTGAAAATGGGAATTTTTGCAATAAGTACTAGCTGTGCGTATTTTAATTTGTACCTCTTCGTTTTTAGCGGATAATGATTTTTCAATCCACTTGAAGGTTTTCGGTGAGAGCTTTTTCGTGAGTCGTTGAAAAGTTAAGGTAGACCTTGTGTACATGTTCGGCGTTTGATCCATATGATGGACCCGATGGCTTTCCATTAGGGAACAAATAGCTCTGAAATAGCACAAAGAGTTGTAACCCCAGGCTTTTCGTGATACAACGGGTATTCAAACTGTAAAACAAATGTTTACCAATGCCCACAAAGGTCTCCCAAACATGACTGAACATACCCGCTCTACGTTAGTCGATCTAATCTTTTTTGGTGCGCATTGCCTATCTGCACACGCACTTTTAGGTTTAATTAGGAGATGTGATTTATCAGGCGTCAGCGCGTCACCGCCAAAACAACTGCTTTAAAATGATGCAATAGTTCTTCGTATGGAGCTCACGTCCTCAAGGCATGGCGTCGTTTACTCACTTATAAACTTCAACGTGCGGCAAATAATGGAGTAGCAGAGCTGTTGCTGGGTATAGTAAGGGCGCGTACAGCACATGGGAATAGGACGCTGCCAGTGTATTCAAGATTCGAATTAACCGTCCCCTGAAAAGAAAAACAGCACCCAAAGATTTGTTGAAGTACGTGCTCCGTTTAGCATATCTAGGTGTCAAACGCACAATCAGTCATACGTAATGTGTATAAAAAACTATTAAAAAACCTTGCCATGGCCGTTTAAGAAATAATATTGACGGTAAATTGGCTAAACTTAAGAGTCGGTCAATTTTTCATTATGGGCAGAGTTTGGTTACGGTCTTTTTCTTAAAAAGGAAATAGACCCTTTCACCAATATAATCCCTTTCTACAACATTCACACGTAGAATATCTTTGTATTCATTCGACAGCTTTGGCTGAAAGGTTTTTATTTTTTTCATTGCATTTTCTTATTCAGCTTATGTTGCTTAGATTATAGAAAACAAAATGCACAACAAAACTTACTTGGCCGCGTCATTTAACCAGTAGTCATCTGCAAAGATCGGATCTACGAAGGCTGGCAACGATGACATGGTAGCCATGTTATCGCTCCTGAAACAAAGCTTCATTTTAATCTGAATATACTCTTTCGGTAACTAATATCAATGAACACATGTACACGCACAGTTACAATATCTCATATTCTCCCTCGGCCCTAGTTTTCTGGACTGTTTACTAAAATTCCATATCCAGCCCAATTTTCGTTCGTAAATATTGCAACCGACCCACGCAATCCCCCAACTGATGCATATTACTATGTCAAAAAAGTATTGATAGTTTGGCTCTGTATCAACAGCCCATGCCTCAAACGCCCTAATCCTAGCTGTCCTTTTCAAGTCTATTATTGCCGGATTAAATGCACATGTGCCACCGCTTTTAAAGAATACGAAACGTTGATGCACCATAAGCATCAAGCTTTCTGTGCTGAAAAGGCGATACGAGTGATGATGTACAAGCCATTATTGTGGTGAACAACCCACGATTTGCTTTTATAGAGTTCAGGTCTATTTTACCAGACAGCGTTACGCAGTTTTCTTGACATATCCTGGTAATACCTCCCACTCATAGAGGAACCACACTGTATGTATTTATAAAGCAGAACTTGCCGGTAGTCGTAGACGACGATGAAGGGAAACTTTGTTCTGGACCTAGGTTTTTCAGCTTTTTCTATTAGCTCTCTGAAAGTAATAGTGCTTCTCATGCATTAAACTACGTACTTCTTGTGTAATCCAATTTCTAAATTGGCTTAGATGAGACGTCCGGTTATTGCAATGCATACATTTGTTCTCAATCATACCACTAAGAACCACACACATTCTAAGACTGTATATAATCTATAGAATCCTGTGACTGCTTGCATATTTGTACTGTATAGTTAACTTGGAAAAGCGCAAGGGAACAACGTCGTCCTTTTTTTCACTGTTTATATGATGCATGCAACTAGGATAATCACCGGTGTTGGGGTGGGTTCAATTAAATTCCCCCTGCTAGCACTAAAAATGCTAGTGGAAACGGTACCTTCCCACAGGAGCGAAGGCCAGTATCCACTACCGTTAGCTTCCAAAAAGCAATTTACGTTGAATTAAAACTCATGGGGTGGCGAATTCTCGTATTTGAAGTAGCTCATAACAAAGATTATTAATGATGAAACAATGTCCCTTGGAGCTATCCATTCAATATTCTGAAACAATGCAAAATGCATAAAATATTTTCGGTCTCAGTTTTTTCAGTCCACTTTCCAAATGCCTTTGGTAACATCTAAAATCTAAGCGCATATTTACAGATACATCTAATTTCTTTTACTCCATGAGCTATATTTTTCAGCGGATTTATACTCCAAGAGGGTTCATTACGACTTCAATGTTCATTTAAAATGGGATTGCTTTAATTAGACTGAGCAACTCCAGATTACCTTACGGACTGGTGGACAGATGAGAACCCACTCTCAGGTATTCTTTTAACATACAAGTATCCTTGAAATATGTTATATATCATGCTCTAATTGGAAACGGTTGTGCAGAAGAAGAATCTGGTGAACGAACGCTGACTGTTTGCGCTTCAAAAGAATAGAACAAAAAAAGTTGACACTTACGTATAGGATACGCAGACAGAGTTAGAATTGTAAGCGATCAAGATAAATGCAGCTTGGTATTACACCGCATAGGCATGAAAAGCTCAAGAATGCGTTGTAACTCTTCCACGCCAATGCAAAATTTGCTTTAATCTCGCAAGCTTAAAATTGCCCATCGTATATATAGACATATGGGTCTTAATCAAGAGTAATATTACCCATTTTTTGACAGTGGGTTCGCTTCTGTTCATGACTGAAGGAGCGTATTTTTATGCTGAAAATAAAAACTTACACTATGCGCATGGTATCAGTTGTACCGGACAGTACTATATAATAACGATTCTAAATTGTTACACTACCAAAATGCGACTAGCTAATAGTAAGAATTTGGTTTCGGTCTAGTGGTTGACGGGTTCACGAGCTTTTTATCTTCTTTTCTTATTCGAAATTATAATTGAATTATACATAATTTTGAATAGCTTAATATCGCACCATCACTTAGTTGAAGCTGTTTTTTGTTACAAGAAAACTTGCGCAAAGGAACGAAACACTTCGGGGTAATTAAAATTTAGAACAATTCAAAGTATAGAGAAATTAAGACTTTTAATTATAATAATGAATATACTAACAAACAAACTAATAAACAATGAAATATATATAAGACGCCTTTCCCATTTGTGATGTTCATACCATTTTTATTTGAAAAAATGTACGACTGAACATCATCAATTAACACTGTGGTTAGTTCTGTGGGTCGGTTCTACGGCTAGAAGTTTTTTTGCTAATTCAAAAGCAGTGATAACATGTTCGGAATAAGGGGCTACGCTCTAAACGATTAATTGTAAACGTATCTGAGAGTAGATACATCATACATGGTAAATACATACAGCAGAACTCTAAGAAGACAGAAATGGAATTACTCGATCAACTGGAATAAGCAATAAACTGTTTTCTGTTAGGACAGTCAAATTAAACCAGCTAAGTAGGGAAAACCATTAGCTTCTAAGCGAAAGTATTTTTCACTTACTAACACAGTTTACCCTTAAACTGAGCGGTCCAGGATTACCAAAACAAGAAAGATTCATGCAACGCTCTAAAATAATGCTTCCTGTCATAAAGCGCTCTCACGCAATCCTGTTGTTGGCAATGCCTTGACGTGAGCCCATCCGGGCGTATGAGTTTCACCCACAAGCATGTATTTCTAAGATCGACGTCACATGACAATGACTAATTCTTACCTACAAATTGCAAAAAAAATTTCCGTATTAATATCGTAATATATTTGAAATACACGGTATTAGACCTATATTTACCACTTATGACAAAAAAACTACAGTTAAAGATAATAAATTAAATATTGAAATCTAATGAGATCAGTGTCATTACTGAGTGTTGTTCTAGATATTTACCTGTAGATTATTTAAGCGAATGTCGAACCATGGGTTTATATAGCACTTTTCATGGTATGGATCAATGGTATGCGACGTTGATTGCGCCGAAATTCAGTAATGAAGTTCTCTGCTATACGGTGCTCTGTAAACTTTTTACTTAGTTTCCAATTACTGGAATCTTCCTTCCTCACCGTTTTTCCTTGTTACATGTTGCAGTGTCGACAGCCGAACCGATTTCATTATTTGTTGGATCATTCTTGCAAGACAAAGACGATTTTGGTAAAAAGAAACATAAAATGTCTAGCGAAAGCTGCTATAATTGCTCAACAAGCAATTAAGTATATAGTTTTTCTAAAGGCGAGCAGCTCCCATAGAATCTTGACAGGGTAGAAGTGTAATTATTGGGGTGGACAACACCATATAGAATTTGACCGCGACGTAAGAGTCCAGCACGGTGCTTGCTATATAAGCCGATCCTACCACATTAGTAGTACCGTATTTCCGGTCACACATTCCACACCTTATACTCAGTGTATGTCTTTCTAGACTTATCCCCAACAAGTAATTTTGGAAAAGGATCGGATAACTTGGTTTCATAAGTAACTTCAAATGGAAACAGTCTGCCAGCAATGAGGCGTGTATGCAGAAACAAAAGAACCGCTTTACGTCTAGTAGACATGTAACCGGAAAAAGCATAATAGAGGTAAGTCAGTAGGAACTTCAAACACAAAACTTTAAAAACAGATGGCATCCATTGACAGAAAGAGTGCCAATTGAAACGGAGTTATATCGAAAGAATGGAACCTTTAGATTACGCAGACCTGTCTGCATAAGAAGAAACTGATAGAATAGGAGATTCAGTTTATGCTTAAAAACGAGCCTTAGTAGACATCGTGCGTTCTTCCACGAGAGAAAAACTACCCATTCCCAAAACCATACCTGTATGACTCCACGCTACCACTTTGAAAACACATTAAAGCTAAGTCACTCGAAAAAATAATTTCAATTAAGATTTGTTGCGTTTACCAACAACGTAAGTTCATACACTGTTAAGCGGATGACATCAAGAAAAAGGCTTCTCAGCAATCGATCTCAAAGATATCACCAAGTTTGTACGAATTATGACAATAATGCTAGACTGGGATCCGTACAGCTTCACGCCTACAAGAAAACTCGACACTTGCTTTTCGATCTCTGTGCAAAGTTGAAGACTGGCATTTGCACCATACATACTCTATGGCTCTTCGACTAGCAAAGCGTTTCTATAACATTTCTATAACGCAATTGCAAATGCGTTGCCTATCTCACTGAACACCGTTTCGGCTACCACGACGTATTTTATTTATTAATGCCTATAGTGAATAGGAATTCGTGTCAAACGTATTTGGCGATATAGACAAAGCTTTTAGTTGGATTAATCGAATTCGATAATTATAAATACTCCGAGCTATTGGGTTGCTAAGAGTTACCAAGGTTTCCGACCAAGATGGCTTGGTGGTTCGCGCACTTTATATACTACTACATCAACCTAATACTGGTGTGGCTTTAATTCTCACTGGGGATCGAAGGGATTTTCGTATACGAATTTTTTTGGTGCCCTGTTCCATAAACAGTGTAATGGCAGCGACTATAACCATGGGCAAAAAGCACCTATTATTACGCATGAAACGACTTTTAGCAGTGGCCACAACCATAATAACAACGGCAACAAACAGCACCGCCTCGCGCGTCTTTTCGTCCATCGGGGGCACTAATCGTGGGCCCGTATTTCACTGATGCAACAGACGAGATAATCAAAAACCAGTGTGAAAACTATATGACATATAGTACTTCGCATCGAAAATGACACAGTAAAATGTAAGCTTGCTCTTCACGCGTTTTATTGCGAATCAAAAAGCGCATTTTTGTGAGGGAGTGATATAATACAACTGGAGTGGCCTCGTTTGAACGCACGGCGGACCAAGCAGTGGGTCTAAACTATATATTGTAATAAAACATACACACATATAATTATTGGATCCATTAAAGACTGGATATTTGCTAGTTACTTTATAAATCGGGTTCTACTACAGTACTATATTTCGTCACAGTGATCACGTTCGTCACGATCGTCACAGTGATCGGTATGATCTTAACAACAAAATTTGTATACACTGAAGTCGCGTGAGTGGAAGCCTTGCATCATGCATTCAGGTGCAATTAAGCACAAGTGATTAAACATGTTGGTGCCGAGTATTGTTATTGTCTTCAAATCTGTTTGTTTTTCGTATGTTTCCACTTCTCATTGACCACTGTGGGGTAAAATGCGAAATTGATCTCTGCCACCTTCTGTATGCATGTCGTAATAAATGCTTGACCGCCTCGTGTTTTAGAGAGAAATACAATTATGTAGGGAACTCCCTGACAAACCACGAGGTCTTTATTACCTCTAAGCAAATGCGGGGAGAAGCGTGCATTTCCCGCATCACCTTCAGAAACGCTGGCTCGGTCCTTGTCAGGGCAGTCAGATATTGAAAGCATAATTTCTTCCAGATTATTGGGATTTCACACGAGGCGCTTGATAAAACCCTTAAAAGAGATAAAATTTATCCCTATTGCTAGAGATAACTTTTGTAGCTTTTCACTAATACTTGCAGCTAGCGTCGCTTTTAGAACTCTATTTACAGTGTGCTGTGCACATCGATTCGCTGTTGAAGTTGCGATGAGTCCAACGTACGTGAATGACGTAACGTGTTTCAACTGTGTCTACAAAGGCGAAGGAAACCGCAAGAAGCGAGCTTCCTTCCATTTTTGAAATTCACGTCTTTCATCTCAGCTTTCTTTACTTGCGGCCCAATATTGGTGACGTAGTTATTTAGGATATTGAATGCCTGCTGTAAACGATGAAAAAGTTACGGTATCACTTACATGTAAGATTTAGAATGATTTACACACTAAAATGTCGTTCTTGCATTCGTGAGGAGCGCTTGCTGATGGTAAGATTGAAGAGTAATAAGCTCAACTTATCTTTTTTGGAAAAATTTGCCGCAACTCGATTTCACTCCGTGCTAGGATGTCATTGTCGAGAGCGATTCGGTTTTTGCGATACTTTTTTCAGTAACCTTAGCTCACTTGAGACCCCCAGTTAGGCAAACTAAGCCGATTCGCAGCGAGAGTATAAAAGACCTACTTAGGTCGATTTAGAGTCTTCTTTATCTCCTTCTTAAGTATTTTACATGTCCTCTTTGTCAACATGCCGGTACGGAGGCCGTTGCGCAGAGTACCCCGGCGGTTAAAGCAGAAAGTAAACAGCAAACGAGAGTGCTTTATAATTGTTTATACACGCAATTATTATTCGCTATATCGTTCCAAAACTTTAGATCTATGGGGTGTGCCTTCTCTTTGTAGTCACGACTATTCGTCGTTTAAGGAGAGCATTAAATACTCAAGTCTCCATACTCCGTTAGAGTTATATAACGCAAGGGATGATGATTTGGCCTAAAGAAATATTGTACCGCCAAGAAATCATAAATATATTCTATACACGGTGAAGCACAGTAATGTCTTTTCGATAAAAGTATATCTATAAATGGACACAATATGCTCGTTTTGGGTGTGACTAAAGGGTCATATACTCATAAATATCGAGACTTAAATGGCAATGAGAATCCAGTTAATGATGGGAAAGCCAGCCTTAGCGTTAATGTAATTTTGAAATATCACTTGGCTAGCGAAAAAAACTCCCAAACCTTCGTAGGTAACTTCTTCAATAGCCTACTGGCCTAAGTAGCACATCGTGCTGCAGTTTTTAGGGCAGACCATTTTTGAACTGATATCTTTATTTGAATTGCCCATACCAAGAGGAAATGTAGTCAATGGCTTTTTAAATATTTCGAATCATCTCATATATTTTAAGGGCTTAATCATGGCATACTTTGTGAACTCTGTGAAGAACTAGCCTGTAGTTTTCTGATGATGAATTTGATCCCTTTGTGTAAAGAGCAGTTACAATAATATGTAAAACAATGAAAGAACATCCCATCCTCAAAATTGAGAGTCGATAATCGATGAAAATGCCGTAAACAAGTATATTTTTTAAAAAGGATTGGTTGAGTTTCATCTGAAGTAACACTGGTCTTGTTCTTCATCCCACGAAGTTGTGTGGCAACAATCAGCACTGAGCCAGATGTTCCGATTTCGAAGCTGTGGAGTGAATATCGACGCACGTAATCAAAGTTCCAGTATTGTTAAAAACTGTCAACAAGTTGGAAGTATGTCAATGAGGTGGAAAAAACAGTTAATTGTATAAAAATACGTTGAGATAAACTGTTCAATGCCAGTGACACTGGTACCGTTAAGCAAGTCGCAATCGCCGGTAGAAGGATTGAAATTCCCTGGAAGTGTTATACGATAATTGAGATGTATATTCTGAGCACCCGCATCCCATTTTGAAGATAAATTGACAATCCAGTAGGGAAGAAATATACACAGACTAAACGACAGCAAGTATTCGAATCATAGAAATAATAACATTAATAACAACTAATTCATATTTTAAAGCTGAGCACTGCCGCATCACATAGCAAAACTCAGATTTTGCCGAACTCGGTATACCCCCGCCAGCATGAACATTAAAGACAACATAGTAGCAGCCCAACAAAAAGCTCAGCACTAGGAAGACCGTTAGCCCGTATCTCAGTAATCAAAAGAATATCAGTTGAAGTGGAAGTAATATACTCTCAAAGAAAGGATAAATAAGGTTCCTCACACTGAACGCGGCGCTAAACGCTAAGCAAGCAATGGGTGTAAATGAACAAGCTGAGACCAGAATCAGAGTTGGGTTTCGGAGGCAATTAAGAAAATTGGTGTTAATAGAACTCATTACTTTTTAGGACCTAAGTCAGCAATCGTGAATTTATTCCTCGATCCTTATAGTTCATTATTGTTGTCCCATTAGTCTAAATCACCTTCTAGTTCTACCTTATCAAAATGCGTATCGAAACGATTAGTGATTAGCAAATGGAAGCCTAACTTCCTTGACCTTAGGAGGTTGATTGCTGGACGTCTTAAATCTTCATGCCTTTGAGCTGCGGTGATTTTTTCTTAAGGCTAAACAAAAGCACCTTCTGATTTAAACTGTGGCAGCAAGAAACAGACATCTCTAAGAGTAAATTGCTCCTGGTTTGAGATGATGCAATTTCTGAATCTTGTAACATACTTTTTACATAAACAAACCAGAATTGTTGAGAGAACGCACAAAAAACGCCGGGAGCTTCTGGTTGTATCTCCAGATCCCTTTTGTTTTGTCTGGAGCTTTTACGTCTGCATTTACAAGGCCGTTGATTCCTATCATTGAAGGCTTCTTTGAATGATGGTGAGCTTCATTTAGTGCCTTGCTGATGTAACGTGAATGTGCCGCAATATGCACAACAATTTTTTTTTTGTAACCAATGAGATTGTAACCAATCTCACGAAAGCAGACCGTGTTTCAACTTTTATGTTAGTATGCGCATTTCGCACGCAAGTTCTATATCCATTGCACAAAATAGTAGTATTTGTTTATCACTTATATCGTGTCAGCTATGTCTTCCAGCTTAGTGGATGTTTCTATGGCATTACTACCCGAATTACGTAGAGCGTTACAGTTTAGTTCCCTCAAAGGTATCGTCGATGTCAGTGAGCTATATTTAGCATAGACTTGGACTAAATGCAACGCACTTAATTAATCAAATCGGAACGCCCACCACGCAGTTCTGACATCTCCTGGGCTTGTGGGAGAATTTCTTAGCTATTGAAGCGGCATTGTTGATAATGTTTTTCGTTTATGTATATAAATCGAATGGACAGATACCATATTGCGAAATTTAAGGGGTGTCTGGGCGCTTAAAAAGAACACATGCTGACTACAACCGGCCCAGCAGAACCCTAAAGGTACAAGTTATTTACAAATACACATGAGAACAATTTCAATGTTGTATCTGGAAACTCGAATGAGGCATATTGAGAACTTCCCCAAAGTGCCCGAATAAGAACCTGAAACGCTATCCTACAAACGCAACGACCTACTGTATAAGGAAAAGACGGGATACCCAATTCACTAGGTTGAAACACAAGCACTTTTGGTTTGTTTTAAATGTTGCTCGTCTCTTTTATTTTCCATTATTTCAATTAAATTTCCCTCTTCGTCAAATTTCAATATGCAGTGAAAGGAATTTCAGGATCCAAAAATAGAAATTAGTGATGAAAAGTGTGCATTTTCTGTACCTGCTCTATTTCGCCCTTTGTCCAATCTGAACAGTTGCTAAAGCACCACGGGATACTTGCGCCACATACAGCGAAAACTATAATTGCTAGAAGAGCTAAGAACTAACTGGGTTGCAGAGTTTTTGAATGGCATCTGTTGGAGAACGCATCCCGTTTCGGTCGGCCATTTCAAGTTGACAAGGGCCAATTGAAGGCACTTTTGAAAGAAAATGACCGGCAAACAACTTGGTAACTTGGTTAGGAAAATAACCATCGACAGGTGTCTTGAACCTATGGTACGTACATAAAAATTAGGAGCTTGTATGCCCTATAAACTGAGTAGAATGTAACTCGGGCTATTTACTGCTCCTTAATATCTTGCGTGATAGAGCGTAAGATGGAAGCCACAAGGAGAAGCTTCTACGTATAATTGTTGCAGGCGACAAAATATGTATCTCTGTCTATGTAAAGTCAGGACACAAATGGGTAGGTCCAGCAAGTGCACCCAAGTGCAGAGTTGAACCGGATTTCCATACCAAGAAAATGATGATTTGCGTTTGGTGGGCGTTAAGATAAAACTAAAATTTATTTGAGAAAAGCAGGATGATCAGCAAGCATCTGTACAAAATTCAGTTTAAGAAAACGAACGAGGCTATTCAACAAACCCAATAAACGACACATTGTTCTCTACGACAATTCCACGCCAAGCGTAGCAAACATAAAACCGTCCTGCAAGAGCTTAAGCGGGAGGTTCTTTTGTGCCCAGCGTACTTTCCGGTCATGTCTCCTACGGATTATCACTTTTTCGAGTCTCGGCCAAATGAAACTAATAATTGTACATTTCATAGAGAAGAAGGTGTCAAAACTCTACCAACGTTTGTCTTCAACACCAAATCTAAATATTTCTAGGGAGATTGGATTGACGGGACAGATGAGAAAAGGTCACATAATTCATTTATTGCCATCATGCAAAAGAAACGATATTTTTTGTTAAATAAGAAAATCGAAATGACTTACGCTTCAGCTTTAATACCACTACAGCCGGTTCTTGGATTTAGAAAGCATATTAGTGCTAAGAAACTACGTATCTGTGCTATTATAACTATCGCTTACATTTCACCTTGGCCGACCAAATTAGCGTTACGCAGTTCCTCTGGACACAACTATGGGAGCCATGAGGTCTACGCGCTTGACCTCGTAGCAACGTAACTTTCAAACGTGCGTTCAGAGGGCTTTGTTTCATTACTGCTTACTCAGTGTGACTCATTACTATCTCACCGATGGTTGTAGAAAGATCTAAGCAAGCTACCTGTGGATACACACTAAGAAATCTAACGGTGAAGAAGGTTTTGCGAACGTATTGCAGATGACGTTCCCTTGCCTAAGCCTTACATATTCCACATCACTGGATTTAGTCTCACTGAATAGATTGATCTTTAAAATAGTAAATATAAATATTTCGGAGAACAATATATTTTAATGTATTTTAGCATAACAATGAGTCCTTTTCATACAATCTATCGCTACTGTCATTAGTACCTATAATTGGCCATTTTCTGTCAACTACTTATTTATTTTTTATTTATATCTCTCAGCCAAGATATTTTTGTTTCCAGGACAGCAGGCGCAAAATAACAGATGCGGATCCAGTTATCTTAAGCTTTTCATAAATACGAATAGGTTTCGAAAAACGCACTATGCGTACCGTGTATTGTAGCATCGTACCCATTGGATCTTCAAAAGTCACTCTTGTGAAAAAAAAGTCTGACGACTCTATTTTTGTGTGTCAAGCCTATGGTAAAACGGTTTTACCCGGCAATACTTGTGAACAGTAATATCTCAGCTGCAAAAAAAGCAAAATCGCTAATAAATATTTTAGTGACCAATGATACACTAATTCCCCAAGCAGTAACTCAAGCCACTTCATTTTTACTATCTAAAGCAGAATAAGCGGTTAGATCTCTCGGTATCCTACTCTACTCAACTAAAGCTAGCTAATAAGATAGCTAGATAATTTTGTAAAGTTGTGGGTATCAATTGAATTCTAATGCTTCCCGTCGCCTCTCGCCACATCGATGGCTCGGTTGTCTCTAGATTTTTGTACGTTAACACCTATACAGATCCATGCTCTCTGGAGTAGTGTTTGTCTATCAGGATTGACGGACCTGTTGGTCAACAGACGCAGGGGTTATCGGCGTGCTTACATTTGAACCAGCTGCAGGGCTCCATAAATCGCGTTATTTACCGTGCGGTGCCTCGCTGCGTTTCTATTCAAAGACATTCAAAAAACGCGCGCAAATGCAATAGCCAGCATTAGCACTGTTGTTAATAGATACATAAATTACATCAGAACGTTGCAACCTGACTACACTTGTATGTACACGCGTAGTCGTACTGCAACACTAGTTTTGAGCATCAAAACTGTGCAAAAACTGAACTAGAATAAACTAGACGCACGACTTTCTGTTCAGAGGTTGACAGGTGGACTTGAAAAACCACGAGGTTAAAGTGTGTAAGTCAAGCGTTTTCACTAAGTTACCTTCAGTGAATGACCATATCACTCCACATTTGCAGTAAGTTACGTCTCTGTTAGACAGAAATTTTGAAAAAAGTTTATCGCGTGTGAGCTAAAGAGTGATGTTCCAATCCGTTAGACACATGGGGCATTGTCTTGTCAAAAACAAACAACTGCAAGTGCATATTCGTCATCTAAGAACGCTAGTTTAGATAAAATAACAAATACGATTCAACACTACCGAAATCATCGAAACATATCGTTAACTGAAGAGAGAATAGCTTAACTAACACAGATCATTTGATCAAACAAGGATCATTTCGTACCAGATCAATCTATCAAAACAACTAAGTATACATTTAAAATTACTTGCTTCGGACGTGTTGTAATTTCACAACTACATAATAATTGTGCCAAGGTTTAGTTGTAGTTTTGGCAGTTCCAAATCCTAAGCAGAGCGGAACATTTGGTGGAGGCTACTCAGCGTATTTCCAACGAAACCGATCGAGTTCATACTAATGTAAAATACATTGCAGATAAAGTAGGGACCAATAAAGCGTTAGCTGAATGGCGACTACAGT